TAACAGCTCTACCCAATACAGAGAAACAAACAGAGAAGCAACCTAAATGCAGAGACAAATAAAAATGTCACAAATAAAAGAAATGGAAGAGAGCACCGAAACCGGTTTGGCTCAATGGATAGAGCGTCAGCCTGCAGACTGAAAGGTGTCAGGTTCGATTCTGGTCAAGGGCATGTAGCTTGGTTGTGGGCACATTCCCAGTAAGGGGTGTGCAAGAGGCAGCTGATTGATGTTTCTCTTTCATCGATGTTTCTAACTCCCTATCCCTCTCTCTTCCTCTCTGTGAAAAATCAATAAAATATATTAAAAAAAAAAAAAAAAGGAAATGGAAGAGAGCAAACTACTGGATATAGAATTCAAAACCACGGTTATTCAAGAGGTATAAGGTTATTCAAGAATCTTCTAGAACCTCCAAGGGACTTAGTGAGACTTTCAAGGATCTTAGTGAGAATGTAAAAAAAAAAAAAAAAAAAAAAAAAAAAAAAAAAAAAAAAAAAATGGAACAAGACCATTCAGAAATTAAGCATACACTGACTGAAATAAAGAATAATATACAGGGATTCAACAGTAGACTAGAGGATCCTGAGCATGAAATCAATGATTTGAAATATGAAGAAGCATAAAACACCCAACCAGAAGAGCAAAAAGAAAAAAAGAATCTAAAAATACGAAGATAGTGTAAGGAGCTTTGGGACAACTTCAAGCATAGCAACATCTGAATTATGGGGGTTCCAGAAGAAGAGAGAGAGACCAAGATATTGAAGAAATAATGACAGAAAGCTTCCCCCACCTGGTGAAAGAAATAGACTTACGAGCCCAGGAAGCACAGAGAACTCCAAATAAGAGGAACACAAAGAGGACCTACCACACCAAGACACAATCATAATTAAAATGCCAAGGGCAAAAGACAAAGAGAGAATCTTAAAAGCAGGAAGAGAAAAGTTGTTAGTTACCTACAAGGGAGTGCCCATATGACTGTCAGCTGATTTCTCAACAGAAACTATGCAGGCTGGAAGGGAGTGGCAAGAAATGTTCAAAGTGATGAACAGCAAGAACCTACAACCAAGATTACTCTACAGAGAAAAGCTATTATTTAGAATTGAAGGTCATATAAAGAGCTTCACAGATAAGAAAAAGCTAAAGGAGTTCATCACCACCAAACCAATATTATATGAAGTGCTTTATTCTTTAAGAAGAGGAAGAAGAAAAAGGTAAACAAAAAAAAATATGAACAACTAAGTGGCAATACAAATCTATCAACAATTGAATCTAAAAATCAAATGAATCTAAAAATCAAATGAATCAACGAACAAAATAAACTGGTGAATGGAATAGAATCAGGGGCACAAAAATGGAACAGATTGACGATTTTCAGAGGGAAGGGGTTGTGGGGGATGCAGGAAGAGATTAGACAAAAATCTTATATGCATGATGTATGCATTACCTATGGACACAGACAATAGGGTGTAGAGGGCCTGGGGCAGTGAGGGAACTGGATGAAGGGAAGCTATAGGGGGGAAAAAGAGGAACTTCTGTAATAATCTCAACAATAAAGATTAATTTTAAAAAAAGGTTGTTCTCCTTGAGGGAAAAAATTAGAGCAGCATAGGATATGAGTATGCTTTCACTGTGTTGTTAGCACACCAGTTGTGTTTAGATTTCATATCTCCTTTCTGACCACCATGGTTCCTGATGCTTTTTCTCACTTTCTGTTTATGAACTCAACTTTGCCTCTTGGACTTAATTATTGATACTGCTTCTCTGATAATAATCAGAGGAGCATATCTGCCTATATGAGTCCACTCTGAGCAAGCTCTATTCCTGGAATCAGAATCTAGAGTGATAACTTAGTCTCATAGAAATTAGCCCCGAAGAGACCAAAAGTGAGCACTCTGACATATTTATCTTATAAATTTTATTGTGTAACTTCCAGTGATACATTTTTAGCAAACAATAACAGAAGAGCCCCAGGTAGTTTTTCTCACCATTAGAGTGTTGGGCTTCGAACTGAGGGGTTGCAGGTTCAATTCCAGTCAGGGCACTTAACTCGATTGCAGGATTGATCACTAGCCCCGGTTAGGGTGCGTGCAGGAGGCAACCAATGGATGAATCTGTCTCATACTGATGTTCCTTTCTCTGTGACTTTCCCCCTACCTTCTACTCTCTCTAAAAATCAATACAAAACATATCCTCAGGTGAGGATTAAAAAGCAAACAAACAAAAAAATAACAGAAAATATGAAGCCAGGGCAGCCTTTCTCAACTGAGAGAGAAGTAGGTTTTATTACACTAAGGTAGCTATTGTATGGAGTGAATTAACTTTTTTCCTGTGTATGTAGATAGAATGGTACTAATTATGTAATCATCTTTGGAGAATTGAGAAAAATATCATTCAAATTTTTTCCATGTACTGTGACTCAGATGAGCAGAGAATGTGGCTTCTTGAGATCCTCAGAGATTGTGTTTGGGTGGTGACAGTGGCTTTGTGATTGTCTTGCCATGACAAAGAAAGTTCCCCAATGGAGCAAAGACAAATTTAAGCTTAAGCTTTAGGGATCCTCACTTGCACAGGCCTTTCCCAATGCCTTGGGAGAAACCATAGACATTTTGAAAAGGAAACAGCAAAGGAAGAAAAGAATAGGGGAAGGAGGGAAGCAAGGAGGAAGAAAAGAAAAAGAAAACAACTTGCTATTAATAGTATTTATAAAACAATCTCAGTTCATTCTTTAGGCATATTGCTGCCCCTTGACAGTGTCCTTTGTTATTTGCTTTTTATTTCCACTATATGTACATACATTCATACATATAGATGTGTGCAAGGATAATATCACATTCAGAAACTATATATATATATATATATATATATATATATATATATATATATATATATAAAAGCCTAAGTGACCAGACGACCAGATGATAAGATGGTAGCTATGATGCACACTGATTATCTGGAGGCAGATGCTCAAACAGGAGCTGCCCCCTGGTAGTCAGTGTGCTGTCACAGTGGGAGCGCTGCTCAACTCGGCCAGAAACCAGGCTCACACCTGGTGAGTGCAGTGGCAATGGCAGGAGTCTCTCTGTAAGCAGGTGGTAAGGAACAAGGGCCCTTGACTTTAAGAGCCCCAGACTGCAAGAGGGATGTCTGACTACTGGCGTAGGCCCGATCCCCCTGGCAGGTGGACATCCCCAATGGGTCTTGAACTGGAAGAGGGCGCAGGCTGGGCCCCAGTGCATGAATCTCATGTACTGGGCCTCTAGTCCTATATAATAAAAGCTAATATGCTAATGGTTATCATGCCATCATACCATAACAACCAATCAGCAGGAGGCTGCATGCACAGCGAAGCGCACAAGGGTAGCCACTCGAGGTGGCAGAAGCGGGAGGCAGGAGGCAGGGTGCCTCCTCGTGATTTCAATCACGCACTGGGCCTCTAGTATATATATAATTTAAACGTGAGATTACCTGAAAATTCCCTGTGAATCATTTTATTTCTTTTGATATCTCCCATTCACTCATGCATATACTAAAACAACACTACAGTGTAGAGCAGACTGCATGCCTCGTTTATTTGCCCCGTGTTAGCCTTTGAGTTTGACATGCGTGGTGTAGAGTATCTCATTAAGTATTATTACTAGTGTCCTTTGACTTATGTAATGAGAAATATATTTTTTAGGTTTTAAGCCCTCTTGAACTATAGAGGAGCCTTATATTTTTTTCCTCTAAATTTTTAAAAATATCGTTTCTTGACTTTAGGAAAATTGCTGTAATTTAGATTTTAGATTTGCTAAAATTAGATTACACCCAGTCTTTTTCTCCAAACCTATGACATACTCTAAAATAACAAAATTTTAGCTCTTTAACACTTCTCTCTTACATCATCTCCTGCCATTCCCACCTTCACACCTTATGTTCCAACAAAATTGGGCTGCTTAAAATTTTCTAATCCAGTTGACTCCAAGCTAGTGATAGAAATTAAGTACATATACAAAAACATATCTTCCACATGGTTTCTCCACTTTATAGGAGAATGAATGGCTAATGAGCATGCCAAAAATTTTAACAAATATTGGTAAGGGTATTTTTAACACCAAGAAAAAAAAAAAGAAAAAAAAAAAGGAGGTATGGCTGTGTAGCTTAGTTGATTAAAGCATCTTCTCAATATGCCATGGTTGAGTGTTCGATCCCTGATCATGGCACATACAAGAATCAACCAATGAATGCATAAGTGAACGGAACAACAAATAGATGTTTCTCTCTCTCTTTCTCTTCCCCTTCCTCTTTCAAATAAAAAAAATAAAAATTTCAAAACAAATAAACAGCTGAAACCGGTTTGGCTCAGTGGATAGAGCGTCGGCTATCTCTCCCTTCCTCTCTGTACAAAATCAATAAAATATATTTTTTAAAAAAGAAAAAAACGAAACATATTTAAAAAATAAATAAATAAAAACAAATTAAAAAGTGAAGAATATTTAATTATAACAGTTTTAAACATAATAACAAAACAAAGAAATATATAAATATACATACTGGAATTAAGATTTTTTAAAACCATCACTTGACATTACAGACTAATGCAAAGATTAGTGGCTTCAACTCTGCTTGCACTGACAATACTTGTCATTCCAAGAGAGGTATTGTATGTAAAGCTAAGAGTAAACAGACCCTAAGTAGAACTCCTAAGATTGCAGTTCTATATCTTAATTTTGGCAATTACTGATTATACTTGACAGAGAATATAGTTGATTTCCCATAAGAAACAAGCTCCTCCTGAACTATTTTTCCTCCCACTGGAAAGAAAATATTTTGACAGAGAAAATAGAAAGCCAGTTATATAAATGATGTCCCAAACAAAGTTATTGATTTTAGACTTCATTATAGCCTGTGTTCAAATAAATAAATAAATAAATAAATAAATAAATAAATAAATAAATAAATAAATAAATAAAAAAGAGATTTATGAGAGGAATGATTAAAATAAAATAAAAATAGGGGTTATTCCTGTCTCTTTAAAAGGTCACTAAAGAAAAAAAGAGGATGAGTCACAAACCACCTCAGCAGAGCTGAAAATTGGGGCAATTCCCCAGAACTCTGTGTGGGGATGTGGGGGTGTAGTGTGTTACTACTTAGCAAACAAGCACCTGGCAACAGCAGGGCAGTGACTCAGGGCAGTGACAGCTCCAGAGTAGGAGGAAATGGCTCAGCCACTGCTAGAGGCAGGCCTGAGAGCTGTGTCTGAATAGTCAGCACATGCCAGCCTCCATTGTCTTAGAAAGAAAAGGTCAGACTGTTTATCCTTCATTCTTCTTAAACAACATCCAGTCACTTCTGATTTTCGAATTAAAGGCAATTCTATTGTAAGCTGTGATGTTAGTCCTGATCCAAACTGTTCTAGATCTACATAAAGAGAAGTTAATAGAGTTAGATTATTTAAGAATAACAAGGGAGTGGACAGAGAAAGAGAGAGAGAGAGAGAGAGAGAGAGAGAGAGAGAGAGAGAGAGAGAGAGATTAATCTGAGGCTAATTTGACAGTTAAATAATGTGCCAAGATTTTTGTCTTCTTGTTTGGTCTTTTAGGAAAAACCTAAAAGACAAAAATAAGTCAGAAAACTACAAAATGTAAGTTCAGCCCAGTTACAAGGAAGACTCATAAACAAGAAAGAAACTAATGGAAATCATTCCAAAAGATAAATGTGTGGACCTCAATTATTATTGTGCATAATATCAAAACAAGCTGAGCAAATACCTATCATCTCTGTGAAGCACTCTGAGTTGCTTCTGAACCTAAGGAATACTATAAGCCAGAAAATTACAAGACAAAATGAAATCTGAATTTATCTTTTGGTATTGGTGAGAACTCAATAATAAGAAAGACTTATTTTGCTTGAAATCACTCTCTATCCATTAGATTGTCTAATGCCTGCTAAGACCTATTTGAGTTGTATCTGAATTTTAAAATTCATTGTTCCAAAGATTTAAACAGGGCAGTCCTGAAGCTTCTTTGAGATCTAAGAAGTCTGATCCTACCTTATTCCCGGTGATCTTCTTTGAAAGCATGTAAGTGTATTTGTTCCTCATATTTCTCCAAAGGAGGTTGCCAACCATTTTTTCTTGACTTGATCCCCAAATACTAATATCTTGGTACAGACCTAACCTCCTATAAAATATTGTGTCTCTATGTTAAGTGAATTAAAAAAAAAAAAAAGAGAGAGAGAGAGAGAGAGAGAGAGAGAGTCTGGAGGCTTTGTTGGAAATAAATAATAGAGATTTGTTCAAAGGTCTTGGAGTTTGCAAATGGGATACACAACTAGGCAAAACCTCAGATGTTTTCCAAAGAAAAAAAGATACATTCTTGAGAAGTATCAGCCCTGCATTCTTAGCCCTTGGACTGGTCCAGGATAGTTATCAGTCAGATGTCAGGAAGTCAGGATGATTCGTTCCAGGTGTTCTGGAAGATGGGTGCCAGTAAGTCTGGCCAGTCCCAGACTGGTTTGGATAATGGATATCTGATTAGATGTATATGTGAATATTTCAGAGGGTAATCACTGAGTACATGAGTCCTTCAGGGGATAATTAGAAAGTTACCTATAGGTCCAGATGTAAATCCAGGCATTGACACAGGACTGGAAAGTTCAAGAAAGCTGAAGTTCCCAGGCTAGTTAAACAAGGTTGAAGTCTTTCCAAATGCCTCAAACTTAATATGTGGATTATTTTAGCAGATCAGTGAAAACGACTCTATTTAAAAAAAATATATTTATTGATTTTTTTCAGAGAGGAAGGGAGAAGGATGGAGAACTAGAAACACCGATGAGAGAGAAACATCCGTCAGCTGCTTTCCTGCACTCTTCCCACAGGGGGTGTACCTGCAACCAATGCCCATGCCCTTGACTGGAATAGAACCTGAGACCCCCCAGTCCGCAGGTTGAAACTATCCACTAAGCCAAACTGGTTCAGCACGACTCCATTTTATATGTTACATATCTTCACTTTTTCCCCACCTAAAAAATAAGAACAAAAACAGAATGAAATGACAAAGAAGAGCTTTTAAAAATCAACAGTATGGCCCTGTCAGTGCCTGAGAATTGACCTCTGAACCAAGAGGTCACAGTTTGATTCCTGGTCAGGGAACATGCCTCGGTTGTGGGCTCGATCCCCAGTGGGCAGTTGATTGATTAATAATTCTCATCATTGATGTTTCTATGTCTCTCTCCCTCCTCTTTCCTCTCTGAAATTAATTTAAAAAAAATATATATATATATATATTTTAAAAAACAACATGTTAGATAAAAAGAGATGAAAAATTCTCAGAAAATAAAAGGACAAAGAAAAAGACAAGTAAAGAAAATGTAATATAGATTCTAGGGATTAATGTAGGAGAGCATTTGAAGAAAGAGGAGTTGCAGAAAAAGAGAACAATAAAATTTCCTGGAACTGAAGCCACGAGTCTTCAGATTGAAAGGACCCCGTTAAGTGTCAGCAGAATAAATGAAAAGAGATCCACACCAAGGCATATAGCCATAATATTATAGAACATGAAGGATAAAAGAATACTGAAAGTGTCTTTCAAATCAGTTCACATGCAGGGAATAGAAACTGCATGACATCCAACTGGATAGAAGCAATTTAGCATCCTAGAAGAAAAGGAAGCCATTCTTCAAATATGTTTGAGACAATGATTTTCTATTATTTTTTCCCTTTTTATTGAATTTACTGGGGTGACACTAGTTAATGAAATTATACAGTTTTTGGTATACAAGTTTGGTACACATCATCTGTACACTATTTTGTATGTTTACCACCCCAACTCAAGTCTCCTTTCACCACCATTTATCCCCCTGTTTCCAAATTCCCTTCTCCACCTCCCACCCCAGACAATGATTTCTCTTAGATGAATTAATATTTAAGTATGAGGGTAAAGAAAAACATTTGAAGACAAATGATAATTCAAATGTATAACTTTTGTAGGAAACTACTGAAGAATTTACTGCAACAGATAAGAGAGTACTTCTGATGGCAAACTTCAGAGACTATAGAAAGGAAGTGATTTGACCTAGGTAGGAGGCAAAGGAAAGTCCCAGAGTAATAGTGAAAGAACACCCTAAGTGATAGCTATGCAACAAATCCACAATCAATCAATCAAGATTTAAGTAGAAGTTGGGGGCATCCTCTGAGGGAAAACAAAATAGAATTGGTAAATTATCTGATATGCTTGAGCACTGAAAAATACTGGTATTTAAGAGATATGATGAAACATGTATAAAACTTTTTATGAGAAATAAAATGAGGCTGTTATTAATGTTAAGAAATGACAAAATGTGACAATTATTAATTCTAGGAAAATAGTGTTTTACAGGAAAGAATGTAACTTTGAAGTGTCAGCATTTACACAGACATGCAAACGGAACTCTGAATACCAATTTAACCAAAAATCCTATATAATAAAAGCCTAATATGCAAATTGTCCTCTGGACCAGGAATTCAACCAGAGGGCAGGGCTGATTGGCCATCCACCCACAGCCCCTCCTCCTGGTTGGCCCTGCCCCTCCCCCAGGTCAGCCCTGCCCTGTTGGTGGTGGCAGGCAGCCAGGGGAAGGGAGGCCCTGGCTGGCAGCCAGAAGGTGCTAGGGACCTTACCTTGCAAGAATTTTGTACACTAGGTGTCAAGTTGCATTAAAACTATCTTGGGAGAGTGACAGATATAAGGAAAGTGGGATTGGTAGTAGAAGAAATATAAATCTTAATTTACCATTATGGGACATGCTATCTAATAAAAGAGTAATATGCAAACTGACTGGCACTCACACACACAAGATGGCTGCCCCCATGTGATCAAAGATGGCTGCCCCCATGTGGACACAAGATGGCCACCACAAGATGGCCAGCAGGGAAAGGCAGCTGAGGGGAACCCAAGCCTCCAGGGGAGGGCAGTTAAGGATGACCAGGCCTGCAGGAAGGGCAGTTAAGGGTGACCAGGCCTTCAGGGGAGGGCAGTTAGGGTCAATCAGGCTGGCAGGGGAGTGGTTAGGGGGTGATCAGGCTGGCAGACAAAATCAATTAGGGGCAATCAGGAAGACAGGCAGGGGAGCAGTTGGGAGCCAGCAGTCTTCCTGGATTGTAAGAGGGATGTCCAACTACCCGTTTAGGCCCCAGCCTAGGTATCGGGCCTAAATGGGCAGTTGGACATCCCTCAAGGGGTTCCAGAATAGAGAGGGTACAAGCTGGGCTGAGGAACACCCCCTCTGCCCCTGTGCACAAATTTCGTGCATGTGCCTCTAGTCTACCTAATAAAAGAGTAACATGCTAATTGATCATACCTTTGTTATGCCCATCAGCCAATCAGGAGTTATTATGCAAATTAACCCAATCAAGATGGTGGATTAATTTACATATGTGGGCACAGAGCGGCTGGGGACAGGGTTGGATGCTCTGGGCCTCTGAGCAATGTAGGAAGGCAGAAGGGTGGCTCCAGGCAGATTGGAAAGGCGTGTCCAGCCAGATCAAAGGCAGTGCTAGCAGCCAGGGAAAGGAAGGCCCATTCTGGCACAATTCTTCATGCATTGGCCTTCTAGTTGGTTAATAACATTATATAAATTTTAGGTGTACAATATTATAATTGAATATATCTATATACTCTTGCATGCTCACCACCCAATACAACCACTTTCTGTTTGTGACCTTGAGTAAGTAGCAACACTTCTGAGCTCAGTTTCTTTATGTGAAAAATGGAGTATATACAATACTTACTTCATAAAGTTTTAATGAGGATTAAATAACATAAAATTTAGAAAGTATTTCATAAATTGGCACATAGTAAGCACTCAGTAACTTTTACTTTTACTGCTAATCCAATAAATTTCTTGTTTGATGTCCCAGCAAGAAGCAAAAGAAAGTACAAAGGGTTCATGCAAGCATGCTGTTCCTTTCTCCAGGAGTCTTTCTAAATTCCATGTCTGGCTGCAATGGAGTTTGTGAAAAACAGACTTTTAATTGGTCATATTGCTACCTGAAATAAAATAAAACTTTTGTTATTAAGTAAGAATAAGAGAATCCTGGGTGAAAAGAGCAAAGGGATTACATAATAAGTAAATTAACTAATTAATTTTAAAAATCAAGTTAATGTCCCTACTCAGAGGCAAAAAATAATAAAAATAAAGAGAACCAATATTAGTTTGACAGCTAGCTAGCCTCTTTTATAACTGTAAATTAGGACCCTAACATTGCCATTATAATGAAGGTTTTAATTGATCTAAGCACTATGCCAAAATTATTGTTGTCTTTGTTTTTGCCCTGTGTTAAGGATTTGTTTCGGCCAGTGGAATACAAGGTTTCTTGAAATTTGTATGAGGATAATTCATTTTAAGGCACAAAATTAAGATTTTGAGTTCTGAAAGTAAAACCGGTTGCCAGTCATTTTTATTTTGCATTTTCTTCTGCCTTCAGGACAAATACAAATACATACAAATACATACATTGTATCATTCTATATTATTCATGGATCACAGAATATTTTTAAATTGGCATATAAGAGATAAAGTCAGACTGTATATAAGGATCAACTATTTTCTTGACCCAGTCTTTTAACAATGGCATCATAGCCCGGGCCAGGTAACTCAGTTGATGAGTTGCAGATTCAATCAGGACACATACAAGAATCAACCGAGGAATGCATAGGTAAGTTCAACAGCAATCTGATGTGTTTTTTTTCTCTCTCTCTCTCTCAAATAAATAAAAATAATTTTAAAATGGCATCACTAATAATTAGCTTAGAAAAGAACATGATCTTGTAATTGACATACTTTTCCAGTGAAAATGTTCTAAGAATTAAAGTGTGATATGGCCTAAGATATAAAAAATGTACCTTTTTAAATATAAATTATTACCTTTTATATAAAAGAGATATAATTTAAGTAATGAAGAGATTTTTTGAGGAGAACAATTACAATTTTCCTAGGAGAATTAAAGCTTAATAATCAACATAGAGATACCCCTGGCTTAAAAGAATCTACCATGGTCAAGGCAGAGGACCAACCATCGTGGTTTGGGTGGGACAGTCCCAGTGTTAGCACCGAAAAATCCCAAATCCTGGGAAATCTTCAGTTCTGGCCAAACAGGGACAGTTGTTCACCATATTTTTAGTTAATAATATTATCATTAGGTAAATCATTAGCTAAAAATATGGTTTAGGGTAATGTAAAAGAAACAATTAAGATTTTTCAGAACTGGATAACAAAAACTAATGTATGACTCACTCCTAGGAAATATTGAAACTGAGTCAGATGAAGGGGGATGTTTCTAGAAATGGGGTAGAAGAAGATATAGGAAAGAAGCAGCTAAGGAGTTACATGCTAATCAATCTTGTTTGTATTATAGTTTTTGCCATGTATCAGTATGTATTCACAGCCCTGTTTGTTGCTGACAGTAAGTCTTGCTTACAAATTAATATTTATAAATGAAGAGCATTTTCATAGTAAACTTCAACCTTAAGTTTAAGTATTAGGTCATAAGCCACATATCTAAGTACCTCATGTAAGTGGAATCATATAGTATTTGTCTTTTTTTTTTTTTTTGCGACTGGCTTATTTCACTTAACACATTGTCCTCAATGTCCATACATGTTGTAGCCAATGTCAGAATCCCCCCCCCCCCTTTTTAAGGCATATAATATTCCACTGTATTTATTCTGCTTATCTATTCCTCTTTCCATGGACACTTGAGTTGCTTCCATGTTTGAGCTATTTGGAATAATGCTGCCTGAACATTGGTGTACTGGTCTTTTTGAGATCCTGCTTTCAATTCTTTTGAGTATGTACCCAGAAATGGAATTGCTGAATCATATGGTAGTTCTATTTTTAATTTTTTGAAGAACCATCATACTGCTTTCCACAGTGGCTGTATAACTTTACATGCCCATCAAAGGTGCAAAAGGGTTCCAATTTTTTTATATCCTCACCAACACTTATTTCCTGATTTTGGATAGAAGCCACCTTAATGGGTGTGA